AATACCCACAACATATCTAACTGAGATTGATTATAGTAAATTGTTCAAGATGTCTTATCTAGTTCTCAGAAAAGCCTAGAAACCCTCTCAAAAGCCCAAGTCACTTGTAACATATAATCTGCCTTTTTACCAAAAACCTCTAGAAAGCCAAGCCTCACCATCATTTACCAAAACTCAGATCCTTCAAATCCCTCTGGAACCATTGCTTTTATGTGAAATTTTATTTTTGGCTAGGTTTTTTTTGAACAAGAAAATTCAAATTCTGTAGCCTCAATAGAGGTTTCCACTGAATATACAGATTTTGAAATAGACTACCTGGTTGATTTATCAAAAATTACTATGTTCCAACCTCAACCTCAAACTTAAAATCAAGGAGAAACTAGGAGAGAATCCAGGACATAACTTGTTGTAGAAGATCCTCCTGATGAGGAATCAGAAATGGCACTAATGGAAGGTGTTCAGTATACACCTATCCATCAAAATTCAAATTTCAAACCTGCTTCTAGTCCCTAGTTTACATTTGATGATACTCCTCCATATAAATGGAAGAATAAGCTTCAAGAATTTGGTGCTTGGATTGATTTGCAAATAACAAGAGCTGATGTTACCATGCAAGAAGCTCTTTTATAATTCATCTCCAGAACGACTGGAAATCTAAGAAAGTGGTGCCAAACTCTTAATGAATATGACAAGATCAAAATCACACAACTTAATGCCTCTCAATTCCTTAGAGTAATTCATAAAGAATTTCTTGGTGACTTCAACATCATGATTAAAAAAGCCAACATGAGTTTTTTGAAATGAAATGCTGCTTACTTGATCGACAAGAACTTCAAAGACATTTTTAAAGAATGTTATTATATGTTCTCACATTCCAAGAAACCTCATTAAATACACTTAACAATATTATATTTTTAAAATAAAAATATAAACTTTTCAAAATACCCATCATTTAATACATTAAAAGAAAAGGGATGAAAATTAATTATAAAGAAAGAGTAATATTGAAATTGGTGCATATAATGAAACCTTAATTTACCCAAAATTTCTTATATTTTAGAATGGAGAAAGTTTTTCAAAAGTATCCTATAATTTGGGATGGAGTATGTATTTCATACTCGTCCTTGCTAGATGCTCCCAATCTTCTTGATGATGGTCAGTTTCAAATTAATGCGGAGACATACAATTAATTAATTCGTTACACAAGCAACACTAAGTTGAAAGGTTAACTCCTATATTTTTTTTTGTCTGATGCAGGCACAAACTGTATCCAGTGCATTGTAGGTGCATTGGTAGCTAATTTGTTTACAAGTTAAGGTGTAATTTTATTCTTAAATTATTTTTAAAAGAGTAATGTTGCACTTACCATTTAAAAATTATAAAATTAAATAAAAATAAAATTATAATATTATTAAATAAAATAATATTAAATGTATGTATAAATATAAAATTATAATAATATTAAATACATTAAATGTATAGATAAAATAAGTATAAGAAAAAAATTTATAGTATATTAATAAAATATCATAAATTAAAAATATTATAAATTACAATTTTATGACTTGTCAAGTATAAGTGGATCTTAGTTAAATTAGATATGAGTATACTCAAAAATATAAACATTTGCACTTATAATGATCCACTAGAGCTATCATTAATAACTCGATTTGGACTAAAAAAATTGTTTTCATGATTGAGCTGCATTGGACAAGATTTAAGCTGCTATTAAGTCAGAAATTAAAGTCGAATTGGGAAATGGAGAGGTTTTCAGAAAATCAAACAATTTTAAATATAATATTAAAAAAATTAATTTTTTAAAAAATTTAAAATTTAAATCCTACTAAAAGCCATTTTATTTTGAAATAATTCATATATATAAAATATAATTTGAGACCTTTTTTTTATAAAGATGCCGATAACTATAGGTGCAAATACATATACTTTTGAGTCTACTCATATTTAATTTAACTAAGAGCCACTTATATTTAACAAGTTATAAAATTATAATTTATATTTTTAATATTTATTTTATGAATACATTTAATAATATTTTTAATTAATATTATTATATTTTATTTTTTTATATGCATTTAATATTATTATAATTTTATTTTTATTTAATTTTACTCCCTCCGTTAAAAAATGTAAGGCATTTTTAGTCTTTGATGTGTAATCATTGCCTTTTTTTCAAAGGAGCCCCTATTGATAGTAGCTTTACATTTATTATAAAGTGTTTAATAGGAGTAAATATAAAAAAATAGGGTTAGTTTGATAGTAGGTAACTACTTTATTGAAGGGTAAGATTCGTTTAAAAATACCTTATATTTTTAAACGAAGGGAGTATAATTTTTAAATGGTGATTACAATATTACTTCTTTGAGAATAGTTTAAGCGTAAAATTGTAACTTAACTCATGAAAGTGTGTCCCACTAATTACAGTAACGGACATTTAAATGGTGAGGCAACATTGCTCCGATTCGATTGGTTTAAGGACAATATTATTACGATAAATAATTAAGGGCAATATTGCTCCTCCGAAAATAGTTTTAGGGGAAAATTGCATCTTAAATACAATTATAATAATATTAAATGTATACATAATATAACATTATAATAATATTAAAAAAATAATCTTAAATGTATATATAAGATAAATATAAGAAAAAATATAAATTATAATTTATAACTTTTCAAATATAGCACATCTTGGTTAAATTAGATATGAGTAGACTCAAAAGTATCTGTATTTGCATCTATAGCTATCGACGTATTTATAAAAAAATAATCTCAAATCATATTTTATACATATGAATTGTTTAAAAATAAAGTTAGCTTTTAGTAGGATCTAATTTTTGAATTTTTTTTAAAAAATTTAAAATTTTTTAATATTATGTTTAAAACCGTCTGATTTTTTGAAAATTGCTCCGGTTTGCAATTCAACTTCAATTCTAGCTTAATAGTGGCTTAACTCTTGTCCAATCTAGCTCAATCATGAAAATGATTTTTTGGTCCAAATTGAGTTGTTAACGTAGCTCTAGTCAATAGCTATAAGTATAAATGCAAATATTTTTTAATCTACTCATATCTAATTTAATCAAAATTCACTTATATTTAACAAGTTATAAAATTATAATTTATAATATTATTAATTTACAACATTTTATTAACTTACTAATAAATTTTTTTCTTATATTTATTTAATATATATTTAACATTATTTTCACTTAATATTATTATAATTTTATATTTATATATACATTTAATATTATTATAATTTTATTTTTATTTAATTTTATAACTTTTTAAATAATAAGGATAACATTACTCCTCTAAAAATAATTTAGAGACAAAATTGGTTTGGTACAATCAAAGTTTAAGTTTATACCTTCCATTAAATGTTGGAAAGAGAAAATATATTATTAAAATAGATACATTTAATAGAGGTAAAGTCAAAAATTTATTAAATTTTTAAATAAAATTAATGAGTTTTAAGATTTTTCTAAAGCATGTTGAAAGTAAAATATAAATAGGACCTTACAGTTTTTTTCTCTAACCTGATACAGAGCATACACGGCATAACAGCCTTTTTATTTCTGAAATTGGGACAATATTACAAAATGACAATCTTATAATGATGAATTACACTCTAATAACGGGAATGATACAAGACTTATTTAAATAAATATTAATTTGCAACTTATTTTCTAGCGTAACATTTTAGATCATAACAGTTACTAAACTGATGTTTTAAAACCTAAGTGTAATTTCTAAATAATGTTTTTACTTTTAATCACAACAAACAACGGTAATTATTCTTCTAAACTGAACATATAACTGAGTGATCATTCATAATCTATAATTAAAGTTTCTCAAGCTTGATTAACAAAGGTTGGTCTAGTTGGTAATAATTCGGCTCATAATTTTTTAAGTTATGGGTTCAAATCTTATTGTCAATGTGAAACCTTTGTTGATGGGTAATCTGTAAGTACTTTTGAAGGTGTTCTTTGAGCCTAAAAGTATGTCTTGACCTTGATATACGAGCCATCGAGACTCATCTCAAGTAAATTTTAGTCAACCAAAAAGAAAAAAATCTCAAGCCAGCATTAGAAATAAGGAGCTTAAACAAATTGAATATGGATAGACACTAGAAATGGATAACAATGCGCGCCCTTGACATATGAAAAATGAGCACCAATTAAAATGATGTTCTTCACGTACTAGCAATTTTATTATCACATGCGACAACACTACAGCGGCTACCAAATGTAAAAAACTAAAAATAGTATTAGTGATTCGACACAAATAATCACTAACATAACAAAAATAACAACAATCATGAAAAGCACTGAGAGAGATCCGCGACATCCATTTCTTCTCGCCCAACTTCTTGACTTTTTGATTACCATGACACATTTCTTGACCATCCAAATGGAAAAACGCAGTGTGATTAGCAATACTAGTAGCTCAAGCAATCTAACCCAGACCGTAAGAAACGCTACTTCCTTCATGGTCGAAATTGATTTCTTCTCCACAATATGAGACGGGACTATAATATTGATAGCAGTAATGAATGCAAGTGCAAGGGAAGAGAGGGTGATACGCACGCCTATTGACAGAAACCATATCATAGCTTTGTTCCTCATAGGAAAAGTCCCACTCACAAGCAAGAGGGTGACACCAAGTGATGAAAAAAAAAAAATGGTAAGGCAAAACAAATACTGCTCAAAGTCCTTGTGGTCTGGAAAGGATGGGATTGCTTCTCCGGGACAATAGCTTTGATTGTCAGAAAGGACGGTGCAGTTAAGGACTTCATTTGATGAGGTGGTATTTTCGCCAGATAACAAGCCTTGCTGAATAAAACCATCAGGTGGGTTAATCAAAGCTTGAAAGGTTACAGTTGCTATCACGGTAGACACCAGGCTCAGATTCCCCCTCATCTCTTTAAACCAATCATCCTCAGACGCTTCAACCAATCTCCAATCCATTTAAAAATCTGTCTAATACGATTCGCAATATGCTTTCATAGGACGATTATCATTCTGAGGAGGGACAGCACGATCCGTAGGTGGTGGGGGTGGGTGTGACTGTGGATTATCAGCTTCGAATCCTTCATTTTCGGCCTTTATTAACACGTGTTGTAATTTGCAGATTTTGAAGTCATTTGGACTATGTTCCAGATATCGTGGGCTGTAAACTTTATCTCGTTCCTCAAGTTTGCTATTTCTCTTATTTCTGGAATTGACAGCAGATAGTTTACCGCCTAAATAATTAAAACCGGAGTTGTTAATTTGCGTTGTTAATCATACTGAATAAGCTACTAGGTACTAGTTTATGTGGTAGGTGTGAGGTGAGTTATGGTAGTGATTACTGATTAAGATTCAAGTCATCTTGATATCACCAAAACTGTTTTCAAAAAAGAAAAGAAAAAGGATAGCAAAAGAATTAATATTGCACCTCAACGCGGTTCAACTTGATAGCAAAATGGAGAAGGGTGTTTCCAGTATCATCAGAGCTTGTGAAGTTGAGAAGCTGGCCAGTAATGGTAGACTCCAATTCCACCAAAGCTTTGAGAGTCTCTAGATAGTTGTATGTGACACACAAGTGAAATACAGTTTTTCCTTGGTGAGGAAAACTCAGAGACTCTCGCACAACTTCTTTCCTTCCTCTCATATTAGCATAGTGCAGAGGAATTTTGCCTTCTTCATTGGGAAACAAGCATGGCTCATTTTTAGCTTTCAAAAGTTCTTTCACAATGTGGAAGTGACCCTCTGTAGAAGTCAAGTGGAAAGCTGTCCTTCGAAAGGAATCCACCTCAAGAGCTAGATTAGATTTGTTTGAGAGAAGTTTCTTTGTGAAATGAAGGTGACCATGCAAAGATGAGATGTGTAAATGAGTATTTGTGAAGTTAGTTTGTGAAGTGTTGTACAAGATATGTCATGAATCCAGCATTGATACATCCCCACTATATGCTGCCTTATAAAGAAGGCTCATTTGGCCAGAAATTGTGATTTTGTTGAGTTCAACTTCCATATCTCTCTCTTGTTAGATAATGTATCATCACACAATACCCTTTATAAAGACGGCTTAATAGAATCCCTAACTCTCATTTCCTACTCTTTGCTTCCCAGTGCTACCTGGTTTTCAACAAGGATGATGGATTTTTGATCTTGCATTGATGATCGATGCATCTATTATTAATTGGTTATAAGCATGCATGAAAGCAATCGTGTTGAAAATTCAATAATTAAATTAAAACTACTTGATTGATAAGGGAGAAAATATGATAAGGTGAATTGAAAGGCTTTCACGTATAAATATATTTAATAATATCAAATGCTTTCGGCATGTGTTAAGAATGGGAATGGGATCCTTAATTAGGCGAAGAAGGAGAAGGCACCTTGGTTCCATTGATCTCGACAATTTCGAGTAGTTCAGATCAAGTTGTGACCCACTGACCAACTCTTCTCTAACAGCAAGCTTATCCCTCTTCATCTCACCTCCCTTCCACCCTCTTTACCAATTTCACAAGCCTAGAACCCCCTTCATTCTCCTCTTGCATTTTTTTTCTATTTTTTAATTTTTAAAATAGCCACATCAAAGGTGGCAAGTGATGTGGCGAAGTATGCTGGTCAAATAACGAAGGTTAACAGTAAATGTGAGCCTTTTGTAATGACAAGGCAAAATTATTCGATTTCAAAAAATGTAGGGAGATTTCGCACGCTAATTGCACCTTGTTGAAAGTATCCGAGGATAGATCTATACTTTAGCTGAAGAATTTTCTTAAAGAATCTTTAATGCTTAGCCAACAAATGAAAATATGAACGATAGAGAAAAATGAAGGGATATAATTTTCTTTTTTTATGCTTGGTCGACCAGAAGAAAATATAAGAGAAAAAAAAGTTGTTAATTTCATATGGACAGTAATAACTTTATTATTTTTTAAAAAAATTAGATATAATAAAACTTAAAAATTGAATATATCATTTATATAATTTTTATGATATATTACTAATGGAGTAAAATACTTTTTGACAAAAACAAGTGGAATAAAATATATTTATTGTAAATTATTTTATATAATTTTAAATTTTATTTGTAAAATTTTTAAATATATAATAATCTAAAAATTTTAAACTACAATCATATATAAGGATGAAAATAGAGAGGTAGGTGGCAGGAAATGAAAAATATTCATGAATAAATTTAAAAGTAGAGTTTTCTCTAAAAAATCTGTCATATTTGGAAAGAAAAGTTTGAGGAAAAAACATGTGGGTCTCTGGTTATTTTCTTCTCAATTTCCTCTCTCTTGACAAGCATAGCATGAAAGATAAAAATGTAAACAGAGTCGGATGTAAGAGATTTTGAGGATGGAAAACATATAAATTAAAGAAAAACCCCTAGGAGCTATTCAAAGCCATCCGACCATACCCTCAGCAGTCCAAACACATAACACAGTCAGCAGCGCTCAATGAAATTTGATCTGGGAGTTGATTCTTCTCTCTCCCTCTCTCTTTTATTCTTCCATATGTTCTTTGAATTGGAAAATTTTGCAGAAATTATGTCTATTTCTTTCTAAATTCCTAATAAGGGTAGGGAGTATCTTGATTGGTATGAATTTGTTTTCACTATTCTTTTATTTCAATTGCATGTCCTATCAATTAACAAACGTAGGCCATGGCGGAGAGTACATGTTCTTCGCAACATCAACAACATGGGAAAAGGTAGGATCACATAGACAAGTCTCTAGCTTATCCTTCACTCCAAAACTAATGGCTTTTAATTTATACAGAGAAACTCCACTTACGAGCAAGAGGATTACACAAAGGTAATGAAATGAAAGAGATGGTGCTTATAGCCTAAATAACAAACTGGTTAGTGAAGTATATTTGTGGGATGCCAAATGATTCGGCCAATCGTGATTTGTGAATCCAATTAATTTTACTGTTTCTATAATGTGTTCATTTCGAGACTAGAGATTGAATAATCACATGCTTAATTGTTATAGTTAATACAGTGACAAGTTGAATGCTCTGTTTCATATACTCTATATACATAATGTCCCGAGGAAAAATTCAAATCTGGCAATTGCATGTGATAAGTTGCTCATATATATATTAGATGGATGTGGCACTATTGTAGTGGACATTTCTTATATTGTAGTTTCTTAGCTTACCTCCTCTGTTTATTTTATTTGATGAACCCTGCAGTAGTAAGTTAACGTGACATATGTTGAGCTTTTCTCCCCTTTGTATTTGCTTCAAATGTTGCTGATATGTAGAGTCGGGAATAAGGCCGAGCTTGGAATCCTTTTAAATAAGGGTTTGGGCTTTGAATTTTTTTTTTAAAGTAATCGGGCTTGAGAGCTTGGCCCTGATAAGCCCTGTAAAATAGGGCTCAGGCTCGGGTAGCCCTTCAAGCCCTGTTATATTATTATTATTTTTTCTTTAGTGAAACACTTGTTTGAAGTTAATGATCTGCTCACCTGATCTTACACACATTATATTATTATTAATTTTAATTTATTTTAAAATTAATTTAATATAATTTAATAAATATCAATGTATAGTATAAAATTTATGATGTTTTTTTTATAATTATTATGTTTGTATATTTATAAAAAATGAACTATTTTTCCAAAATTTAAATTTTATTGGTAGACTCCTAAATGTGTATTATTTAATTTCTAAAAAATTATGATGATTTTAATTTTTTTAATTTTAGAATATTTTAATTTATTAAAAATGTTTAATTTAATTTTAATTTTTTTTATTTTTTAAAAAAGGGCTTACAGGCCCGACCCTGAGTCCTGAACATAAGGGTCGGGCTTGAGAAATGAGGGTCAAAATAGAAAATCGGGTTTTAGGGTTCGAGCCCTTAAGGGCCGAGCCTATAAGAGTCAAGCTCTTAAGAGTCGGGTCCGCCCGTATTCCCAACTATACTGATATACTTTTTTGGTTTTTTTTTTTTTTTTTCACTTCTCCATGTAGATGGGCTTAAGAAAAAATTTATGGATTGGGTTTTTCAGTTGGAAACTAATGTGCGAGATGTCATTATTACTGGGCTCAAGAGGTATTGGCTCAATGAAAAGAAGTTAGGATTACATATAGATGCGCAAGACTTTTGTTGAGCACTCTCTCTGTATGCCCTTCGTTTCTCCTCTGTTCTTGTAACCTTTCTTATTCTGCTGCTCTTTATTCCTGTTATTCCCCCTTGTTGGCCTCCTTTGCCCAATGCTTTGAGGGTATAGCATTTAATAAATAAATAAATAAATAACCTAAAGTCTGTTTGTTTTCTATTTTTAAAACTGTTTTTTGTTTTTGAAAATAGAAAAATTTAAAAACTTGTTTGATTAGATATTTTTTTTTACTTGTTCGCCAAACTTTTTTCATTTTTTTTGTTTTTAAGAACAAAAAATAGAAACAACTTCAAATTATTTTCGTTTTATTTTTCTTATTTTTAAATATATTATATTTAATTATTAAAAATTATAATTATGTTGATCAATTTTATATCATAAATTACCATCATTAACCACCTATAATTATCATTATCAATCTATTTTTTAATTCTAAAAATGTTTTTAAATTAATAAAATTAAACAGATTTTCAGTTTGTTTTTTTTGAAAAATAATTTTAGAAACTATATTACAAAACAGTTTTGAAAAATAAAAAATGAGAACAGAAACCAAATAGGCTCCTACTCTGCTCTTTTTCTCTTTAATTTTTTGTTTTTTTCGGTTGCAACTATTTCCATTTTATATTCCATATCTTTCACTTCAAGGGCTGCTAATTATATAAGGAGGATAAGATGGAACATTTCCTGAGAACAACTTCGAGGTAGACTTGAAAGTGCAAAGGGTAAAAGACATGCAACTTAAAAATATAAACCATAATCCTCTTGGGTGGGGTAAATGATAGAATTGTATTTTTAAAATATTCTGCTTTGCATTTAAGAATTTTTATTTACAGATATAAGTTTCTTTTAAAACTCAAAAAATCTATATGATAATATTTTTGTATAGTGAGAGCTTCAAGTTGATCGGTTTCTTTTAAATTATATGATGTTTATTTATAATGTATTGAATTTTTGAATTCATAAATCTAATATTTTTATGAAAAAATGACAATAAAATTCTCCTGAATTATATAAATGACAATCTAATACCTCAAAATGTTATAATTTTACTGAATTACAAAAATTGAACAAAAAATTATAATTTATCAAGTGTAATTTCTGTTATTGAAAAACAAATATGATGATTCCAATATTTTAATAAATTTAATGAAGTTTTTAATACAATTAGAAGTCATTTTGTGAAATTAATTAGCAAATATATGATTTAATTGATGATTATTTGTGAGAATGGATGTTGATAAATTTTAAGATAATTATAGAAGTTATTGGATCAATTATGGCATCAATTATGGGCCCAAAGCCGACAATTTCAAAGGCTACAAGAAATTAAATTTTGCATAGTGATGTTGTAGCACCAATTTTAAATGTCATGACATCAAATCAGTTTTCAACAAAATGCACAGGTTCACTTAAAATTGTGTTTTAAGTGCTTTTGGCTATCATTTTTGTTTTAGTTCATTTTCAACCAACAGCTACTCATCTAGGGAGCATTCTAAGGTGGAGAAAGAGTTGGATAAGCTTGGAAAACACTTGGGTCTTATAATTTATGATAGAAATTATCCTTTCTAAACTTTCTTCTCTTTTTTTTTCTTCATTTGGATGTATATTCTGTTGGGTTTTGATATTTTCATGGCTGTTAAGCTAATTCTACTTGACTTAGAGTAACTATGAACTTCTTGGTGGATTAGAGCTTGTTCTTACCCATTCATTTTGCTTAATGTTGATATTGGTTGCTCATTCTTACATTTAATTATCTATTTGATATTTGGCTACCATTAAATATGAATTTGAATGTTGGATTTTTTCTTGACAGAGGGAAATCTCATTTGAACCCTTAGATTGAGTAATATATAATTAGATTATTATTTAATTTACAATTAGGATAGAAATATATTTAAGTACCTCATATAATAAAATTAGAGTGAGTTAGAATTGAATTTGTCTCTTAGATAATTTAGTTAGAAATAACATAATTAATTTGGGAGAGGGTTATTTGAGGTTCGAAAGGTCCTTATAACTACCAATAGTTTGGATTAATAAAATTGACATTGAAATTAATTATTGAGTAAAAGCAAGATCTATGAAACTAACAAAGAATTACTGACTCTAAGTTGCCTCGGACATTTATAGTTGTTGAATTGAGAATCTTATTGTATTTTATTCATTTCACATTTTAATATTAGTTGATCAATCAATTCTAATTGGTTTTGGATAACATGAACAAAAGTGAACACTTTATTGCCTAATTGCTATTTTGCTTGATTCCTCATGAAATCGACTTTGACGCACTAATATATTGCATTTTGGCCCGTACATTTGGAGTGAAACATTTTGTATACATCAAAATTTTAATCAC